CTGTAATTTCTGAAGGAGGACAGACAACTGTCATGGTGGTTGCCCCCACAGATACCTTTGGTTGTTCACCTCTCTAACCAGTTATCCATTTCTAAACTACTCCGTTCGTAAATTACTAAGATTCTGTGCATTCTGTCACTTCCATCAACTAACAAAATAAGCCTGTACCCAACTTACAGGTTGATGTTCTGGGGAAAAGTTTTTCACAGCTCAGCTAGTTATAGATAACCTTGAAGACGCTTCATCCACCCCCACCACCCTCACTTAAGAAGGAATTGCAACTAGCAAGAAGAATGAGTTGTGACCTGAAATCCTGGAATGAGACAAGCTATAAACAAATAAACAAAGCTGCTTGACACAATTTCCAGCTTTATCTTAAAATAAAACAAAAAGTTACAGCAAAACAAAACAAAACAAAACACACCACATAGACAAGTATCCTTACTAAAGAACATCATAGAAGTTAACAATAATGGAGATCTTTGCTAAGATTTTACTGTAATTTCAAGGGATACCCAGGACTTTCTTGGGTTTTAGTTAATTTGCAAAATGAAACATCACAATCAAGTTTCTGGGTTTTTTCCCTTAATCAGTTAGTGGTTTGACTATACCTGAGTTAGAAGAGAAAGGATCAATAGTGTTGGCTGAAATAAAATTTGAAAAATAAAATGAGGCACAAAAACAAATGCTGAATTTTGCAGTAGAGTAAAAAACTCAATAGTAAATATTTCAAATTCTGGATTGACTGCTGAGATCTTGAAAGATGTACAAAATGGGTTAAAAACCAGAGGCTGCATTTAGGAAGTATGAAAAAGTAGGTTAAAAAGTAGAGAACAATTACCCTCAGGTGGGCTGCGCTGGCTACACTCCCCCTATCCCCCCAAATAACAAGTGAGCTACTATGGTACAACAGCTGATGTGAAATTATTGGGTTAAGATAAGTAGGTTCATGGCTGGGTGTGGTGGCTCACGCCTGTAATCCCAATACTTTGGGAGGCCAAGGTGGGTGGATTACCTGAGATCAGGAGTTCGAGGCCAGCCTGACCAACAGAGTGAACCCCATTTCTACTAAAAATACAAAAATTAGCCGGGTGTGGTGGTGTGTGCCTGTAATCCCAGCTAATCAGGACTCTGGGGCAGGAGAATCGCTTGAACCTGGGAGGTGGAGGTTGCAGTGAGCCGAGATCATGTCACTGCACTCCAGCCTGGTGGACAGAGTGAGACTCTGTTTCAAAACAAAAAAAGTAGGTTCATAATAACATATTAAATATTGATTCCAATATAGCAGAAATGAAGCAGTTTAGATGTACCAACCCAACTTTGAGGTATACAGTTGATAAATCCAGTATTTCTAAAACTTGGGAGTAAACTTCTAAAACCAAGTCATTCCTTGGTTTGCACAAAACATTCTTAACTCCTTGTGAAAATAACTTTTACAACAAAAATAAGTTTTGAAATTCAAAAATAAAAGTTCACAAGTAATTTTCTAATTTAGTAAGAATTGAGACAATTTAAAATTGCACCAAAGGAAATAAAATATTTAGGTATAAATCTAAAACATATACAGATTTGTGTTCTGAAAATTACAAAATAATGATGAAAAAAATCGGATTCCCTAAATAGAGACACATACTATGTTCAAGATAGGAATATTCAACACAGTAAAGATACCAATTCTCCACAAATTGATCTATGTTTAATGCAATTCCTACAAAAATTCCAGGAAGATGTTTGTAGATATAGACAAGCTTATTCTAAAATTTATGTGGAAAGGCAGAGGATCAAGAGTAGCTAAAACAGTTAAAATGTTTAAAATGAGGTATAACATGAGAGGAATCAGTCTCTCTAATGTTAAGGTTTATTATGGATGCTGTACGTAATCAAGAGTGTGTAGTAACAACAAAGGAACAGACACACAGATCAATAGAACAGAATAGAGACTACAGAAATAAACCCATAAAAATATGCCCAACTGACAAAAGTGCCAAAGCAATTCAATGAAGGAGGGATATCTTTTTAACAAATGGTGCTGCAGTAACTACACATCCATAAGCCAAACAAACAAAAAAGAACCTCAACCTAAACCTCACAGTCTATACAAAAATTAAATCAAAATGAATCATGGACTTAAGTATAAAACATAAAACCATAACCATAATTTTATAAAACACCAAGTGGTATACCTTAAAAGTAATCCATTTTTATTTGTCAATTACACCTCGATAAAGCTGGGAGATGAAAAAATAGAAGAAAATCTTTGGGACAAACAGGCAAAGGACAATAGGGATAGGTGACGTGTTAGACTTGACACCAAAGCACAATCCACAAGAGATATATCTGCTAAACTGAACCACATCAAAAATCAAAATTAAAAATTTCTCCTCTGAAAGACACTGTGAAAAGGATGACAAGACAAGCTACAGAATGGCAGAAAACATTTGTAAACCACATATCTGACAAATACCTTATATCTGGATTATAATAAAGAATTCTCCAAAAATAGATAAAGCAAACAATCCAATTAGGAAATGGGCAGAAAATATGAATGAAATGCACAGATCTACAGATGGCACATAAGCACATGAAAAGATGTTCAACATCATTAGCCATTAGGGAAAGGCAAAGTAAAACCACAATGAGATGATGCTACATAGCTATCAAAATAGCTAAAACTTTAAAAAGTGTTAACATCAAATGCTGGCAAAGACGCTGAGAAACTGCACCACTTATACACTACTGGAGGGACAATAAAAAATGGTACCACTACTTTGGAAAAGAGAATGTTCTGATGATTGTTACAAATGGAAAAAACAACAAAGAAAAAAAGTATATATAAAAAAAAAGAATGGAATGGCAGTTTCTTACATCATCAAACACAGATTTATCATAAAACTAGCAAGTACACTTTCAGGCACATATCCCAGAGATATTAAAATGTATATTCAAACAAAAATATGCACATAAATGGTCATAGCAGTTTTATTAGTCAAGAGCCCAAAACTGGAAACAAACCAAATGTCCTTCAACAGGATGTACCATAATACTCCCTAGTGGTGCATACCATGGAATACTCAGGGAAAAAAGGAACTATTGATACATGCAACCATTTGAGTGAATGTATAAGCGGAATCTGCCAATGTCAAAAGGTTAGATACTGTGTGATTCCATTTATATAACATTCTTGAAATGACAAAATTAGAGAAATAATGAGCAAATTAGCTGATGTCATAGGTTAGTGAGGGAAAGGCAGGAGGTAGCTGTGGCTGCAAAAGGGCAAAATACAAGGGATTCTTATGATGGAATTGGTCTATATCTTGACTATGTTGGTAGTCACACGAATCTATACATGTGATAAAACTGCACAGAACTAAATACACATACACGTAAAACTAGGGAAAGTTGAATGCAGTTGATGAATTGTATGTATCACGACCAATTTCCTGGCTGTAATATTATAGTTATTCTACATATTTTTTACAACTGCATGGCAATCTACAATGAGCTCAAAATAAAAATTTTTAAAACTTCCAATATGAAAAAAAATGAGGACACTATATGGTTAACTACTTCAAAGACTTAACATTATAAGTGACTGATTTTCATGCTCCCAAGTGAGCAGTCATATAATTCACCTCCATGTATAACTCAGAATCCACAGGGTCAGTCCCATTTCTTATCTCTTCTCTCTTTCTTCTCCCCCGCCACCACCTGTCAATCCCCTTCACATAAGAGAAAACTGCAGTATATGGTTGTATATGTGTGTGTATGCACTGCAATTTCATGTTCTCTATATGTAGTTTTATATACACACTCAGCTATTTATCATATTTATTAATTAGCAATCTGTGCTCTTCCTAATTTTAAAATCCATTATGTGGCACATTTTATGCTTCCCTTTAAAAATAATTAAAATGTCAGTTATTGGTTGTTTATGGTAACTGTTCTCAGTCCCCACTCCTACCCTACTTCATGGGTAAGTGGCTCTTAAAAATAGTTTGTTTGCTTTGCACTGTGAGCTGATCATTACTGGAATCTACATAATAGGATATCTTCTGTGCACTGAAACAGAAGACAATAATTGCAAATTTTGGAGGAAAAAAATAGGCGCTTTTTCTGGCCACTGATGTACAGCGTGTATTTAATGAGTCCCTGTCCCTGGGCATGGCACTGGTATAATGGGCATGGCATATTATATAGACTAAGTACCACAATATGCCATGTATTAAAAACATCTAATTAATATACTGCAGAAACCTAATTTATTTATAGTTCTGAGCTTCCTTTGCTCACTCTCACAGCAAGCATTATTGCCATACTTTTTCGTACCTTTGCTTTCCAAACTACTTGTCAATTTTAAGCAACAGAACCTGACTCAGGGCTTCTGTCTGATACATATACACAGAAGGTGGCAACTGAGTTCCCTGTGTAAAAGTCATGGGATAGGACTCTTTTCCTCTCTCCATTCAGGAAAGAAATACTTTTAAAAGAGCTGCTGTATTCTCAGACTAGTTAGTCCTAACAGTCTCCCACCCACGCTCTAACAGTTTTTTCATTCTGGGGAGTAGGTGCAGATCATGTCCAAAAAGATGTACTATAATTAATCTTTAACAGACAATGTGCATAGATATAAAAACAGAAGGCATTGTTCATGTGGCATTTCTTACACAGTGGCCCCAAAAGGTCAGTTTTATATACTATGGCTATTACAGTGTCATTTCCAATTTTAGAGAAACAATCAGATAACCAAATAGAGTATTTTCCCAAAATGACTATGATCCATCAGTCAACATGTAGCTCATTAATGTACACAATCTTTTGCATCTTCCTCTTAAATATAAAATACTAAATTTTCCCAAATCTTTTACTTAGAAAACAGTACTAAAAATAGTTTTCATTTCCAAGCAAATATCAAACTGCAATAAGCAATTTTAAAAGAGCACATTAAATGCCCAATAAGAAACATCCCAAGAAAGTACAATTAGAAGCTGGAGAAATGGTACCTTAATTCTTCTCTCTGTGTCATCTAACTTTAACTCTGCTGAAACTAGTTTCTTTGCCAAATCATCTCGTTCAGGTAGGTGTCTAGCTTCAGAGATCTCTTTCAGTTTCTGTAAGGAAAATTTTGTCCTAAATAGTTCACTTTCTGTATCTTTTACCCTTTTCTCAGTTGCCCGTTCTTTCTCTTGAGATTTTCTTAAGCGTTCTTTGAGTGCTGTAATCTCATTGTTATGACGAAATATAAGCTGTGAGATTTCATTTTCAGCATCTTCAAACTTATTCAGGGCTTTCTCCTGTCTGTACTGAAGCCTTTTCAAAGATTTATTTTCTTTTAGCAGCTCAGCTAACTTGACCTGGAGTTCAGATACTTCATTCTGCAACTCATTGATTTTTAGCAGTCTTGCAGACAGAATCCGTTTTGTAACAAGATCAGTATCTTTCCGAAGTGGCTCTCTATTGAGGCTCTGGGAGCGAAATCCCACTCGGACTCCCTTTCTGTTTGGTAGACCCTTAGGGCTTGGTTTCCGAGGGGCTAAAAAAGAAACAGGAATAATGTAAAGTGAAAGCTATACCAAATGCAGTGTTATTTATTCATCCTAACACAAGTGGGTCCATAACATTCTTTAGTTATTTTTGTCATTAGGAAAGGATTTTACAATATTAGTAAAAGATCAAGTTTTATTTAGAGCTCTAAATAGGTTTCTATTAAGAAAGGTGTGCAATATTTTAAGAAAGGTAAAAAATATTCTGATCCACCAAAAATGATATCCCAATAGTTTATACAGAATTATTTTACATCGCTTTAAAAGACAGCAGTGTCAAGCTTTAACCATTTTTAACTTTTTAGATAAGACGGCAAGTCAGAATTCAAACATGAGCGTAATCAGCATCATCAGCATTAGCGTGGTACATAACAAACACTGGACAAAACATTGTGATATTCAAGTCATTCGTGCCAAGATACTGGGATCATTATTTGAAATGTGAAAATGAATATTTTCAATTTGCATTTCTCTAATGATCAGTGATGTTGAGCTTTTTTTCATAAGCCTGTTGGCCATATGTATGTCTTCTTTTGAAAAGTGTCTGTTCATGTCCTTTCCTCACTTTTTAATGGGGTTCAATGAGATACCATCGCACATCAGTCAGAATTATTATTAAAAAGTAAAAAAAAAATAACAGATGCTGGCAAGGTTGTGGAGAAAAAGGATCACATATACACTGTTGGTAGGAGTGTTAAAATTAGTTCAACCATTGTGAAAGACAGTGTGGCGATTCCTAAGACCTAAAGTCAGAAACACCACATGACCCAGCAATTCCATTACTGGGTATACCCAAAGGAAAAGAAATCATTCTCTTATAAAGACATGCACATGTATGTTCATTGCAGCACTATTGACAATAGCAAAGACATGGAATCAACCAAAATGCTCACCAATGATAGACTGGATAAAGAAAATGTGGTACATATACACCATGGAATACTATGCAGCCATAAGAAAAATGAGATCATGTTCTTTGCAGGTTCATGAATGGAGCTGGAGGCCATTATCCTTAGCAAACTAACGCAGGAACAGAAAACCAGTAACACATGATTTCACTTATAAGTGGAAGCTAAATGATGAGAACACATAGACATATAGAGGGGAACAACACACACTGGGGCCTATCAGAGGGTGCAGGGCAAGCGGAGAGAGCAGATCAGGAAAAATACCTAATGGATACTAGACTTAATACCTGGGTGATGAAATAATTCATACAACAAACCCCCATAACACACATTTACCCATGTTATAAACCTGCACATCCTGCACGTGTCCTTGAACTTAAAACTAAAAAAAAAAAAAAAAAACAAGGAAAAGAAAATGTATGTTTTCTCTACATTAATTACAACTTTATCTGGGGACAGGATGACAGCATATTATACAGTGAGATTTGTGGCTCAAATTTATCACTTAACTATTTGGACAATTCAATCAAACCTTTCCAAGTCTATTTCCCCAGCCCATAGAAAGAAGACAATGTCATCGACACAACTAGGTTGTTGGGAGAGTTAAATGTTCTATGTATTCTCCGTTAGTAATAAGAATATTCCATTTATCGGTGATTGAAAATGGAAAACAGAAGTACAGGTGTGTTTCTAAATGCTTTCTCAGAAGATTTCTTTTCTGTGATGTTCAAATCAAAAACACCTAATTTGAGATGAAAACAAAAAATCACATCCTAAAAAATGTAAGTATATGAAATCTTTAAAGAATACATTTTAAATCACATTTCTCAAAAATTTGAAATAATGTTTTTATTTTTACTAAAAGTTCATTAAACTTAAGCCTCAATATTCAGAGCACCAGCCCTTTAAAAGAGGCATTTGAAAGTCTGCTAAGAATAATCATCTTTAATCTACATGGTGACTGCATTTTTTTTTCAAGGAGAAAACGCATTCCAGAGTACAAAAGTTTCAAGAAACACTAGAAGATCCAACCTTTCCTTCCCCATTTCATCAGCCATGGATACTTGATTCCATTTTGTAAATAAGTAAAGAATAACAAGTAATTTTCATAATTTAACATTACAAAGTTTCATTAAAAAGATAAAAGATTTTATAGAAACTGTTCTGAATGTGTATCAATTTGGGATTCCAGCTCTATAAATGACTGAATACATGAAAGGAAGCAGTAATAAAAAGAAATGAGGGAGTACTTAATTATTGCTACTTTGAAACTATGCTATCCATTATGGTAGCCACTGCCACACACAGCTTTTGAGAACCTTGACATATGGGTAGCTCAAATTGGGATATGCTATAACTGTGAAACACACATTGGATTTTGAACACTTGATTCAAAAATAAAAATAATGCAAAATATTTCACAATGTTTTATACTTACTATATGTAGAAATAATACTCACATTATTAAAATTAATTTCATTTGTTTTTCTTTTTTAACCTGGTTACTAGAAAATATAAAATTACATTTGTGGCTTGCATTTGTGACCTGCATTATACTTCCAGTGGGCAGCATTACTTTAGAATATAATTTTAAAGTTGAAATGTCCATCATTTCAGTTTTCTTTCCCAAGATATGTAGTTAATGGAATTTTGGTATATATACGCTATTATGGGATATGTACTCAGCTCTTGGAATGACAGAAACTTTATACATAAAAATAATTATATATGAAGATGAATGTCAATTGTTCCAAATATGGTTTTATTATACTGCTTATAAAACGAAACTTCACAGAGCAACTTGTTTTATACGAAAAGTTAAAGCCTTCACGCCTGTAATCCCAGCACTTTGGAAGGCCGAGGCGGGCGGATCACAAGGTCAGGAGATCGAGACCATGGTGAAACCCCGTCTCTACTAAAAATAGAAAAAATTAGCCGGGCGCAGTGGCGGGCGCCTGTAGTCCCAGCTACTCGGGAGGCTGAGGCAGGAGAATGGCGTGAACCCCGGAGGCGGAGCTTGCAGTGAGCCGAGATTGCGCCACTGCACTCCAGCCTGGGCGACAGAGCGAGACTCCGTCTCAAAAAAAAAAAAAAAAAGAAAAGTTAAAGCCTAATAATATAAGAATCAGGATAAAAATTTTGAGTCAGATAAAAAAGGGTTTTCACAACCAACTTTCTGACATCCTAAAACTCTGAGTATAAATTTTTTAGCATATTCTATAACTACAAACTGACCATTAACTGGAACTCACAAATATTTCCAGCTTTCATCCACCTTTTTATTTTCATTTTTAAAACTATCAAGACAAAATATTTTAAACTATCAAGTGTTAATAAGAGTAAGAAGAAAGATGATTGTTGTGTATATCATTCTTCATCTCTCCTTTTTAAGTCACTCCTAAAAAGTGGGTGGAAAATTGCTTTTTCTTCCTTCAGGTGTTAAAAATAATATGACTAACTTTTTTAATGTAGTAAAAATAAATTATGCATCCACCAAAAAAATCAAGATATGTTTATATTATTGAAAAAACAAAGAATAAACATAATAAACGAACATGTATAACTAAAACTTAATACATTTTGCCATGATAAATTCTGATGCAGCATGAATTTTATGCAAAAAAACAAAGTATGCTGAAAATTAAGGAAGGGGAAGAAAGAATATGCTATCAAACATGCAAACCCGAAAATTCGTTTAAAATACTGTTTTAATCACATTTGTTTTGTCCTTAGGTTAGTCTATACTGATTGCAAATTAAACCAAGAGAAATTAACTTAGTGTTTACGGAAACGTATCAGTTTGGTCTTGTTACTTGGTCTAAGGCAGACTAATTATCACAGATTTTAATTCAAAGGACAGTGTAAAACAGAAAACAGTACAAGTCAAATTGAAGACAATAATTGAAAATTTCTGGCTGATGCTGGACTGCTTTTCACAGCTTTTCTCAATTATCTTCTCAAATAAGGTAAGGCTTACAAAGTTCTAACTCCTTAATTGGCCTCCTAAGTTGTTTCCGAGGAATGAAGAAAAAAATTAAACTATTCCTTACCAATAATACCCTAAGTATTTCTTCAGAATAACAGGCATTTTCTAAGGTTCAACCCTAAGATCTGTTTTGTTAGTTCTTAATTATACAGCAAAAGTTTAATAAGACATCATGCTCTCAACTACAAAATCATAACAGGCCCCTCACTGAGACAGATTTAGAGAAAGAGACCAAAATACCACCAACAACAAAGCATTGTACTCACAAAAAAAGAAAAAGAAAAAGGTTCCCAATTGTTATAAATGGTTAGAAGTATGGAAATCCCTGAGGAGCTAGACTGGGGGTCCATGAAAGGTTTTTTTCAAAAGGAATACACATTCTTTGTAGTTTTTAATGAGCAAATATTATTTTTTGAAATAAAAATTTTATAAAGGCAAACTTCATTATGCCCTTGCTTAACTCTTTTCAATGGCTAACTATTCCCCACAAAAATAGTCAATACATTAGCACAGGATGCAAGGTGTTTCATAATGTGGTCCCTTGTTTCCCTTTTCCACCCACAATTTTATCACTCCCTGCCTTGCAATCTAAACTCTCACCATTTTAAGCTACTGCTGTGCTACTTTTATTAATAGGTACTATAATTATCTCATTTGCCTTATTTTTCTACGCTGTACTTGTAAACCTTACATATTTTGTTACTAACTACAGTGGGGTTTTCTTGACCAGAGATTTATTGAGATGCAGATATTTGTAGAATATTATATAGTCAAATATGTATGAAGGCCTATTTCCATTCTAGTAATATTTTAATAACAAAAATGACTTCTAATGATTAATCCAGTTTCCATTATAACACACTTCAAAAGAAAGCAAATTACACCAAAGGCCCCAATTCCATTCCTAGGTTTAATTTGAATTTTTACAGTAAACACTGTATTACATAGAGGAAGCAATTTTACTCAATCTATTAAAAATGTCCCTTAACCACTTTATATCAATGCTTTTTCTACTTTCAAAAAATGAAGATACAAAAAGGTACATATGATTTATAAACTTTTTTGCCTTTACAGTATCTCAGAAACCCCAAGACAAGCATTTCTTTAGGAAAAAGAAAAAACAAACTGAGAAGGCTTAGGTATGTTTCCTTCTGTATATTGTATGACTCTGAATATAACAAATTTAATAGTACCATCAAGCAACATTTATATATAAGTATATAATCTATAAAATGTAAATTAACCCACTTCCATGTATACAACAACATATATACTAATAAAAGAGTTTCATTCATACACGTTTTCCTTAAGCACTCAAAATGAGTCTTCTAGGTCCATCAGACTCTTTTAAAGAAAACTTACCTTGGTGATGTACTTGGCCATCTGAAGTTTGTCTTTTAGGATTTTTTCTCTTAACACTTGCAGGTGAAGAACTGACCAGTGATGATCGGCCAGAAGACTGTGGCGTTTCAAAATCAGATGAATAAGAACAATGGTGTTTGCCTGACTTTCTTTCTTGATCAGTACCTGGACTTCTTGCTCTTTCCCCCATTGTTTTGAAAAATGGTTTCTATTCACATAGTTTCACAGATTATTTTCTCCAGAGGAGACTATGACAATACTGAAAAACATTTTCACAGTCTTCAGATCCTGATAATATTCATTTCTGTGCAATCTATTTTCTCCACAATGTATTTGTAGACCACAATTCACATTAGCATCCAGAAGATAAACTTTTTTGCCCTGAAATTAAGGAAGGGGAAACGAGACTTATCATACAGTCTCTACGTCATTTCTACAATTAATTACAATGAAAGACACTAAAAGCAAAATAATATATAGCTTACAATTTTTAAAAGAGGCTACAATTTATCTATATTTTCACAGATAAGTTATTTACAGTATTTGGAGGAACTACAGACTGTCACAGCCTAGACAGATAATAAGTACCTGACATACAACTACTTCTGAATAAATGTTAACTGAAGTTGACTGTTTAATTTTAAGAGTTATACTAGAGACAAATGCTGAATTTTAATGGACAATAATGATCAAATTACCAGTTTATTCTTTTTTAGGCAGGGAGGCAGTGGGAGTGGAGGTAGTGGTGATAATAAAGGATAAACCTGCTAATAAGAATAAATACATTTTGGGAGGCTGAGGCAGGCGGATCATGAGGTCAAGAGATCGAAACCAGCCTGACCAACATGGTGAAACCCCATCTCTACTAAAAATACAAAAATTAGCTGGGTGTGGTGGCGCACGCCTGTAGTCCCAGCTACTCGGGAGGCTGAGGCAGGAGAATCGCTTGAACCCAGGAGGTAGAGGTTGCAGTGAGCCAAGATGGCGCCACTGCATTCCAGCCTGGTGACAGAATGAGAGTCTGGCTCAAAAAAAAAAAAAGGACAAAGGAAAAGAAAAAAGAATAAATAAAAATATCCAAGATTGACCACACCAAAAATGTAAAACTAAAGTATATTTTTTAAAAACTAAAAGAAAAAATACTTGATTGGAAACATTTGCAAACATGACAAAAAAATTATCATCTTCAATACATAAATATATCATCCTTTGAGAAAAATATGAGATAAAAAATTAAATGGGCAAAATATATAAGACTCCAAAAAGGCAACACAAATTATTAAAGATTTTTCAAAATAATAACACTCAATGCTGTCAGAGTTGCTATCAGAAAAAGATCCACAGTGTTTTCTGGAAAAACACTGGCAAAATGTATTGTCACTTTAATTATGCTTTAACCTTTAATACAATAATTTCTGGATTCCAATAAAATAATGCTAAAATTAGGAGAAAAGTTATGTGCAAATATTTAATGCAGTACAGTACAATTTTTTTAATGGAAGCAAATTAAATGCCTAATCATTGAGGAATAATTAAGTATTGTACAAATCCATACAGCATAATATCATGAACCTACTGAGAATGTTTACAAAAAGTTTGTATTTAAGGAAAATGCTTATACTATTATCGCAAAGAAAAAATTCAAATCAGTGCATACAGTATGATCTCAACTACACATATTCATTTAAAAAAAAAAACTGAAAACACTATTATTCTTATCTGAATTCAGAAACTGAAAACATTTTCCAAAGCAAGGAATACACGAACACCAAAATAGTGCCTGCCTGACAACATGGATTTTGGATAATTTTCTCTCTCCATTAACATATTCTGGTTTTCTAACACAACAAAATTAGATTACTTTTATAATCCAATTTAGAAGAAACAAAAATCCCATTGATGAAATTAGTATTAAAAGTATTGTTCTTCTAGTAATAACATATGAAAGGACATGCACAAGGCAGCACTATTTATTGTAGCACTAATGCAAGTAGAAAACTAAAACAATAAAATGACCAATAAGAACTGGTCTTACAAATTATAAACATCCACACAATGAAGTATATGTAATACTATGAAGCTATTAAAGGAATGAAGACTATCTCTGTGTATTGCTCACAGTATGATGTAATCTCTAGGATATACAGAGAAAAGAAAGATGGAAACAAAGCACGTAGTATGCTACCATTTATCAAGGAAGAAGGGTAACATATGTAATTTTTTATATTTTTAAGTAGAAGGAGAAATCAAGTAATTAAGAAAAATAGAATGGGTTCGCTAGGGTAGTTCTGTCCAACAGAACTTTCAGCCAGGATGGAAATGTTCTATAATCTGTGCTGTTCAAGATGGTGGCTGGCCACATATGGCTATGAAGCACTTGAGATGTTGCTGGTATAACTGAAGAACTAATTTTAATTTTATTTAATTTTAATTAATTTTAATTTAAGAAGCCCCATGTGCTGGTAGTTAGCTTACTAAACACAGCTACAGGGGAAGGAAGGAAGCAGAGTTTAGGGAAAGGGATAGAAGCTTGGCTTCCTTGTATATAATTTTTGTAAATTTAACATTGGAAATTATAATTTTTAGAAATGAGATTTTTGAAAAGCAATTCCCATAAATCAAAATAAAATTAGATAAATCAATCTATATACATGGTTGGTGGTAAAACTACATAAATTAACCAGTTCAAATGACTTTAAAACACAATAACTTGACTTTATATTCCTAGTGAGACATAATGACCAAAAAAAAGTGTAAAAAAAATTTTAAAGCCATTCGAAGAATCATATTTTGCTACTCAGATATTTTATTCTCACACTTATACACATGTACTGTGAAATAAAACAAACGAGTAATTATTATTGGTGCAGTTGGGCACTAGAATTTTCAACATGGAAGAATTAAATATAAAGTAATGTGAGTTTTAAAACTTTGACATTCAAAATTTGAATTATGAGTGACAGCATGAATTTATGATGGCTTTTATTTATTTTTAAAAAACTTACTCACTTTGTTCACTGAAAAATCCCAGAAACAAGGAAAAAACTAGGAACATTCCTAGAACCCAGAAGTAGTGTCTATATGCCACTTCCCATTGAAAGAACCTAAAGTTCCTCGTGAAATGCCTGATTCCATTTCTGAGGGAGGAAACACACAAAATAAATCTAAGAATATAGCAGTCTGGTCATACTAGAAAGCAAGGAAGTTATCAGACACTACTGATGGAGTGTCAGTCAAATAGACTCAGGAGCCAACTTCAAGGAACTACTTGCCAAAGACAAGGCAAATTTGTCATCAATACGAATTATAATCAGCAAACGATTTAAACATATCAAAAGTATTTAAATCCTTGAGTTCATATATTTTACAAAAACCTAATTATTCACCTTTGGAAGATTTTAGGAAACCATCTCATTTAATTTAAAAATTTATACATTAAAAAAAAATCACACATGCATCTTGCTATAATATACTCTTAAAAAGCTATTATCTGAAAATAACAAAATATTACATGAGGGGAAAGTATTTCTTTATGGAATTATTCTAGTTAACAAACAAAAAACAAAGTATTAAAATGACAGAATTAGACGAGTGACATTTCACAACTCCTAAAGAAATAATGAAGCTATATAATGATCATAAATGGCTGTATTGCTCCAGAAAAGTAACAGCCAGACACCATGTCTCTGATAGGACACAATAATACCTCTGAAGTAATGTTCCCTCCTCCCCACAAAAACTGAATCTGAATCTAATGAAGCCTCTAAATGTAAATGACATTGAAAGTACGAGATCAAGGTACAAGGAAGCAATCAGAAAAAAATCCAGACTGTAGCAAACTCTACAGGAAAAAACTAGATTCTTTAATGAACGAATTGCAAGCAGAACAAGAGAGGAGAGAAGAGGGTATTTATCTAATAAGAAAGGCTTAAGAAACAACCACCAAGTGCAATCCATGGACAGTATTTCAATCCTGATTACAATAAGCTGTATTAAAAAATTATAATCAAGAAAATTTAAACACTATTTATTGTTATTAGAGACAGGGTTTTGCTCTGTTGCCTAGACTGGAGTGCAGTGGCAAAATCATGGCTTACTGCAACCTTGAACTCCTGGGCTCAGGCAATCCTCCCACCTCCTGAGTAGCCAGACCTACAGATGTGAGCCACCATGCCCAGCCCTGACCACATATTTAATATTAAGGAATTATACTGTTTTAGGTGAGACATTGATACTGTCATTATCTTTTTAAAGAATCTTTATCTTTTAGAGATATATGTTGAAATATTTACAAATAAAATTGTCTGAGGTTTGTTTCAAAATAACCCAAAGGAAAATGGGTAAGGGTAGAGATACAAAATTGACCATGAGTTGACGATTATGTAAACTGATAGAAGACTTTTGAATTCATTATTCTAATATTTCCAATTCTGTATTTGATATTTTCTTTAGAAAAATATTTTAAACAGCAAAAAAACACTTGACTTTGATTTTACCTCTGATGTATCTAGCAATCTCAGTCTCAAAATTAGTTACTGTATCTAAAATCAACAATTCCTATGGCAAGTACTAATATTAAAAATATACATAAATCAGCCTGAATCTTTCACTCTGCAATTATGTGAAAAAATATTTATACATGAAAAAAAATTGTCTAGAAGAAAAGGATAATGATAACAGCAAGTAAGTGGCTCTGGTACTCATTAGCTATGTAAATCTGGAGAGTTTACCTCTCAATGTAAGTCTAATTTTTTAATATGTAAAAAGATAATATTACTAGTAACTACTTTAGAGAATTCTTGTGAGGATTAAATGGGATAATTCAATAACTATTACACAGTAAGAACTTGGTAAATATCAACAATTATATTAGCAATTCCAATACATATGAGATGCTCAGTAAATTATAACTGATGTTCTTTGTCAACAACTTTCAGTTTAAATTCCAGTAATATAATTAAAAGTTGGTTATACGGTAAAGATGAAAATTATTTCTGTTTACATTTGCATAGCAGAAGTAGCTTCCTATGACCTATCCTATCTAAATCTGAGGGGCCCACCAACTTTCTATGGACAAGGGGAAGAACACACAAACAGTGTTCTCTCCCTGCCGCCCCCAAATATATCCACATAGTTCCATAAAAATAAATAAATAAAGGAAATATCCAATGCCCCACTATCCAAGTCCTGCTCCCTGAAACAACCATTTTAATGGCTTATACCTTTATGTGTGCACTATATCTTGAGTTAGCAACTTTAGACTATGAAAGATGAGGATTTAACTCACCCTTCATTTTATACGGTTGCAACATGCAACTACGTGTTGGTTATGCATGGTTTTTCTCTTAGAATTCCTAATTGTCTTTTTTTCCTATTAAGGGGAAAAAACATTTCTTATATCACTAATACCTATCAGCTTCTTAATCTACCAATAGCCCTAAGTCCATTCCATTCTTCCTCCTAAAGACATTTTCCTTGAATTTCCTATTCTAATTTAAACCAACTACTTTCTAGACCTATTGTACTGCTGTCATTCTGGAATTACTTTTATTAAATTCCTGAGTTAGTGCACTATTTCATTTAGACCATGTCATCTTTATTAGTTTCCATCATCATTTTACTGGTCCACATCCTTAAATAACTTCTTCAGAAAGAGTTTATGGTTTAGGAAGTAAATGTTATAAGTCCTTGCATGCCTGAGAATGTTGTTATTTTACCTCACACTTATTACTTTTCATACATTCCAAATTCTAGGTTATTTCCTCTCAGAACTTTGAAGACACTGCTTCACTGTCTTTTAAACCCTCAGCATTGTTTGTGAGACATATGTTATAATCATTCTTTTATTCAAAATATATCGGCCGGGCGCGGTGGCTCAAGCCTGTAATCCCAGCACGTTGGGAGGCCGAGACGGGCGGATCACGAGGTCAGGAGATCGAGACCATCCTGGCTAACCCGGTGAAACTCCGTCTCTACTAAAACATACAAAAAAAAAAAACTAGCCGGGCGAGGTGGCGGGTGCCTGTAGTCCCAGCTACTCGGGAGGCTGAGGCAGGAGAATGGCGTGAACCCAGGAGGCGGAGCTTGCAGTGAGCTGAGATCCGGCCACTGCACTCCAGCCTGGGCGACAGAGCGAGACTCCATCTCAAAAAAAAAAAAAATATATATATATATATATATCAGCATTGTTTGCGACACATATGTTACAGTCACTCTTTTATTCAAAATATATTTCTTGAGCTCTATGTAGCAGTAATGAACAAAAAGTCCCTGCCCTTAGGGAATTTACACTCTAGTTATACTAAAATAGATTCTCATTCCTTTATAGGTTATCTTTTTCCTTTTTTCGCTCCCTAGGTGCATTTAGGGCTTTCTCCCTTGTTATACTGAAATTTCACAAGAACATGAATACCAATGAGCCTTTTTCGTTGTGTTGGGACCCTTTCTCCCCCTCTTCCTTTCAATCTGGAAATCTGTATCTTTAAGCACCAGAGGTTTTCTTATATTGTTTTTCAGGTAATTAACCTTTTTTTCCATTTTCTTTTTGAAATTTCTCCTAAATAAGCCTGCTTTTTTTCTTCTATTTTCAAAGAGTTTTATTCAATTTATCTTCTAGACCATCATTTAAAAAATTATGCCAATATCTTCATTTCTAAGAACTCTTTCCTGTTCCGATTTTTAAAATAATTATTCTGTTCTTGCATTACCGAGGTAATATTTTTTTTTTTTCTCTGAGAATACTACATAAACATTTTCTGTTTAAAGTCTCTTCTGGTCCAAGAATTACCTCTGCTTCATATAGTGTCAGCTTTTCTGTTTCTTTATTTTGAGTTTTTATTTAAAACCATACTTCTGGTTTTATTTATTTGAAGATAATTTCTGGTTGATCATTTATAGTTAAAAAAAGAGAAAAAAGAAAGAAATGAAACCACTCCTAGGAAATCCCCTCGGTTTAGCAGACCAGCTGGACCAATTCCTAGGACCCATCTTTCACACCTGGGCTAAAACAATGTCTATCATAAATATCCTGTTCACAGGAGAAGAAAAGGGAATAATTAGGAAAGCGGTCATAGCCATCTGGGAGAGGCAACACCCATCCAGGCAAACAGTCTTGCCAGCCAAACAAAAATTTCCAAATGTCAATCCCAACTGGAATAATCACAATCCCAGGACTGGGCCCAAATGCAGAACCTCAGGAAACTAATAATTAAAGGGATCAAAGAGTCCACTCCTGGGACACAAAATGTCTCAAAGGCATTTGAAATTCAACAAGAAAAGAGGAAATTCCCTCTGCATTCCTGCAGAGGCTCAGCGATCAAATGAAAAAATACTACGGATTAGATCCGGAGGACCCAGTAGGGCAAGGTCTCGTGAAAGTTAACTTTGTAACTAAGAACTGGCCTTGCAGGCCAGGGAGTGCAGCTGCAGGTGTGGGGGCGGCAGGAGCCACAAGCTGGAGCAGACAGCCAAGATAACAGTGGACAGTTTTGGAAAGCTAGTGTGAGTAAACCTCTAATAAAAGAACTAATGTCTGTATTACACTTAGGGAGTCACTGGGGACTCCAGGCTCTGTGTGATGCAATACTTAGGAATTATGGGTGTACAGGGATTTATACCCTCAGTAAACAAGTATGTGGAAGTTGTGTAACTTGTCAAAGGGTAAACAAAAAGGTGATTAGAAAACAGGCCACAGGAGGAAGGCCTCCCGAACTAAGACCATTTCAAAGCGTTCAAGTAAATTTCACAGAAATGCCCAAAGCAGGAAAACTAAAGTATTTACTGGTAATCATAAATCACCTTTCCCTCAGGGTGGAAGCCTTTCCTCTTCCAATAGCCACTGCCGGGAATGTGGTCAAAATAATATTAAAACAAATTTTACCTACATTTGGCCTGGTGAAAAATATTAATTCAGACAATGGGAGTCACTTTACCTCAAGGGTGTTAAAGGGAATTATGGAAGGTTTACAAATTAAATGGAATACTCACACCCCTTGGCATCCCCCTTCCTCTGGAAAGATAAAAAGAATAAATCAAACTCTCAAAAAGCTATCACTAAACTAACCTTAAAAACTAAAATGCCTGGAACCAAATGTCTCCCAATAGCACTCCTTAGAACAGCCCCAGGAAAAAACTTGGG